TAAATTGTCAGACAGTATAGCAGAGCATGTGTAATGCTAATCTCTCTGGATATCTCCCCAAACCTGGCCCTCCAGTATCTCAACCCCACACTAGGCACCCTCCTCCTTCCTCCGGGAATAGCCACAATCCACTGAATTTAATCTCAATCCCCATGCTCCTAAAAACCACCCTCCCTTTTTCATGTGCACTCTGGAATGCCTGCTCTGTCTGTAATAATCTCACCTCTGTCCATGACCTTTTTATCTCTTACTCTTATCTACTAGCAATTACAGAAACCTGGCTTCAAGCATCAGAATCTGCTTCTCCCTGCAGCACTTTCCTATGGAGGCCTTCTCTGGACCCACTCACCCAGACCCAGTGGTTGGAAAGGAGGTGGAGTTGGTTTGCTTCTATCCCCACTGAACTCTTTGCAAGTCCTTCCTAACCCTCCCTCTCTATTCTTCTCTTCTTTCAAGACTCACTGCATTTGGCTGTTTTCCTCCCTTTTCTCTGAGGATTGCAGTGATCTACTGGCCTCCTGGACTGGTGTCGCACTTTCTTGATGACTTGGCTACCCTACTTTCTCTCCTCTGAAATACCCACTATCATTCTTGGAGATTTTAACATCCCCATTAATGTGAACAACCCAGCTACATCCAACTCTTCAACCTAACCTCATCTTTTGCCTTAACACAATGGATAAATTCCTCCACTCACTCTGATGGGAATATGTTACACCTTGTTTCCTCCCATCTTTGCACTCCCTACAACTTCACAAACACCCCCTTTCCTCTCTCTGATCACAATCTCATCACCTTCACAGTGTCCTCGCCTTCAAACACTTATCCATTCAAGCAGCAAACAATTACCCGCAGAAACCTTCACAACTTAAACTCTTCTCTTTTCCACTCTGCAACTGACCACCTCTATGACAGAATCTCTCCCCTGTCCTGCCCTGACCTGGACACTGCTGTCTACAACAGTTCGCTTTCATCCACACTAGACTCACTCTCACTTGCTCCTCTAACTACACGAAGTATCAGGTCCTGACCATTAAAACCGTGGCAGACTGATGACACCAGAAGGTCACTAAAGTTTTCTCAGAAGCCCGTCTCACCAAATGCCCCCTGGATCCTGTCCCATCTCAACTTCTACTTTAACCCTCTTCTTCTGTCCTATGCTCCCTCACTCACATCTTCAATCTCTCCCTCTCTAATGGTGCCTTCCCAAACCCCTCTAAAACATGCACAGATCACTCCTCTACTTAAAAAACTCTCACTGGACCCCCGCCAACCTGAACAACTTAAGCCCCATCTCCCTGCTCCCGTTTACCTCTAAACTCTTAGAACGCTTAGTCTACAATCGCCTGAGCTCCTACCTCACTGACAACAACCTTCTTGACCCTTTACAGTTTGGCTTTTGCTCATTACACTCCACTGAAACTGCCCTACTAAAACTCACGAATGATCTACTAACTGCTAAAACCAATGGTCACTACTCCATACTCTTACTACTTGACCTCCCTGTGGATTTTTGATACTGTTGATCAACCCCTCCGCCTCAAAAAACTCCACTCTCTTGGCCTCCGAGACTCCGCTCTCTCTTGGTTCTCCTCCTACCTATCGCAACGCTCCTTCAGCGTTACCTATAACTCGGTCTCCTCCTCTCCACTTCCTATTTCTGCAGGAGTACCTCAAGGTTCTGTCCTTGGACCCCTTCTCTTCTCCATCTACACCTCCTCCCTTGGTCACTTGATAAACTCCCGTGGCTTTAAGTACCATCTCTATGCTGATGACACACAATTCTATCTTTCTACTCCTCACCTCACCCCTTCAGTCTCCTCTCTCATTACTAACCTACTAAGTGACATATCAGCATGGATGTCACCCCACTTCCTCAAACTAAATCTTTCCAAAACAGAGCTCATACTATTCCCCCCAGCCCATGCTCCTCCCCTGACTTCTCCATCAAGATCAATAATACAATCATCAGTCCCTCTCCTCATGCCAGGGTACTAGGTGTAATCCTAGACTCCCATCTGTCCTTTCAGCCCCAAATACAATCGCTGTCCGAATCTTGTAGACTTCACCTCCGCAACTTCTTCAAGATACTCCCGATCTTGACCTCTGAAGTGTTCTTAACCACTAAGCAGCTTATTCACTCCCTTGTTATCTCTCACCTTGACTATTGTAACTCTCTCCTCATTGGCCTACCTCATCGCAGGCTGTCCCCTCTTCAGTCTATCATGAATGCTGCTGCCAGACTCATCCACCTTACATAATCAATCTTGTCTCCAAATATCACCCAAACCGTCCTCTCCACTCCTCCCACGACCTCCTGCTCTCTAGCTCCCTTGTCTCCTCCCATGCTCATCTCCAGGACTTCTCCAGAGCCTCCCCCATCCTCTGGAACGTTCTACCCCAATCTATCTGACGATCACCTACTCTGCCCACTTTTAGGCTATCTCTGAAAACCTATCTCTTCAGGGAAGCCTATCCCACCTTCAGTTAATAATTTTAATAATGGAATCTTCTATTCCTCCTATCAGTTCATCCCCCACAGTTATTACCTTTTGTGCCACCAACCCCTCCCTCTTAGATTGAAAGCTCCAAGGAGCAGGGCCCTCCTAATCCTCTTATATTGAACTGTACTGTTGCTGTATTGTCTCCCTTTATATTGTAAAGCTCTGAGCAAACTGTTGACAATATACAAATCCTGAATAATAATAATAATAATAGAGATTGTACATCATATTGTAAAATCAACAAGAGACAGTTTAATATAGGGCAGTTATTATCAATTTCCTGGAACTGTCTGTATGCCTTGCACTTGTGAAACAGGGATAGAAAAAAGGAAAAGGTGTTGGAATTAGGGCTAAGTGCAATCAAGTGAAGACAAGTAGGATGTCAGAAAACCATATTCACCTATTAGTGGTCTCTGGATGAACATATGACAAAAGGATACAAAAAAAAGAAACCTGGTAAGGTGTTTACCTACAACATTCAAAGGGTACAGTGGAGGTGTACAAGCTAAAGACTCCATTTCAAGTGAAATTTAGTCATAATAGAGTTTCTTAACCTGTTCATCCTGACAGTACGCAAATATGGGGCCTCTCGGCAGTTGGGGCTTGACGCCAAGAGGCTGTATATTTGCCTACCAAAAGTACACAAACATGTGCTGAGAGCACGTGCCCTGCGTGCTCCCGCCACATTTACCAGCACCTCACGGAAAGGTCCCTATCACTACTTGCAGTTGGGACCTTTCAGATCATGTGACCACTGCGACAGCCAATCGCAGGGGTCACATGACTTTAGACCCCACCCTGCCTCCCGGCATCACAAACCCTTTAAAGGACCAGGAACCGCTGGCACCAAGGGGTGAAGGCAAATGTCCTCTTGAAAAAACAGAAACAATTGAGGTCATCAATAGTTTCAGGGACAGAAAGTGACAGACCAATATTCCATCTGGCTGGTAGAGGGATCTCATCGATATTGAAGTGGTGTAATACCATTTCCACCATTGATAGGATGGGTTAAGTTGTAAAATCTGATAAAAAGGCAAAAATTCAATTCCAAATTGAACATAATGAGTTACAAAACCAAAGTAAATGTATAAGATAGCCTATAGAACCACAGTTATGCCAGCATTGAGAAGATGTGTTAGGGTACATTTTAGCTAATTTATATGGGGTGAGGTACCACCTATGCATTCCTTTGTACATTACTTCTTAGTGATCAGCGCAGAGGGGAGAAGCATATAAGAACCAATATGATTGAAGCCATTTGTAAGAAGGGAATACTTTACTTATGTCATGTTCCTATTTCAGGAAAGAAGGATGTTTTGTAAATGATGATTAACTTTGCAAGTTGTTTATAAAAATAGGAAATTCCCTTTTCTTAGTGATGAAGAAGGTTCATAATACTGGAAAAGGGAAATGTCTATTAGGATAGAGGTAGGTATAGGGGTTGTAAGTAATAAGTGTTGGATTTGCAAATATGTATAGAAATAACAAGAAGGCCCTGAGAATGTGTCCTGCGGGACTTTAAAGGACTTTATGCCTGTAGTTGTACATAAATCCTGTAAATAACATATACCATGTCTCACCCAGGAGTGTTGGGAGAGATTGGGTTGACGCTGGAGGCAGGAACAATGTACATAATTGAGTAAGACCTCCAAGAGCGGGTTGAAAAGTAGGAAATAGGGATGCTATTTTACCTCAATAAGGGTCAACAAGGGTGGGTAAAACATCAAGAAGTCTTAGCGCAATTATTTTAGCATAGATTTTTATATCCGAATTTAATAAGGATATGGGCCTATAACTACTGGTGAGGGTGGGATCTTTCGGGTTTAGGTATGGTGGCCACAACTGCTTAAAGCATTTCTTTGGGAAAGCATCCTAAGGACATAGCTTTGTTAAAAACAACAGTAAAATAAGGAGCTAATTTGTTCTTAACCACTTGCCTACCAGGCACTTATACCCCCTTATTTACCAGGCCAATTTTCAGCTTTCAGCGCTGCCGCACTTTGATTGACAATTGCGCGGTCATGCAACAGTGTACACATATGAAATTTTGATCATTTTTTTCTCACAAATAGAGCTTTCTTTTGGTGGTATTTAATCTCCACTGGGCACTTTACTTTTTGCGCTATAAATAAAAAAATTTCAAAAAATTTGAAAAAAAAAAAAAAAGTTTCTTTGTTTCTATTATAAAATTTTTCAAACAGGTAATTTTTCTCCTTCACTGATGTGCGTTGATGAGGCAGCACTGATGGGCACTGATAGGCAGCACTAAAGGGCACTGATAGGCAGTACTAATGAGGTGGCACGGATAGGCGGCACTGATAGACAGCACTAATGAGGTGTCACGGATAGGCGGCACTAATATGCAGCACTGATAAGTGGCACTGATAGGTGACACTGATGATGGGTACTGATAGACGGCACTGACTGGCATCACTGCTGGGCACTGACTGGCGGCACTGACTGGCACAACCGCTGGGCACTGACTGGTGGCACTGACTGGCAGCACTGCTGGGCTGCACTGGTGGGTGGCACTGGTGGGCAGCACTGGTGGGTGGGCACAGGTGGGTGGCACTGGTGGGCACAGGTGGGTGGCACTGGTGGGCACAGGTGGGTGGGCACAGGCAGGTGGCACTACTGGGCACAGGTAGGTGGCATTTCTGGGCACAGGTAGGTGGCACTGCAGAGTGGCACAGGTGGGTGCACTGCTGGGCACAGGTGGGTGATCTGCTGGGTACAGGTGGGCGGAGCTAGTGGGCGCACTGCTGGGCACAGGTGGGCGGAACTTGCGGGTGGCACTGCTGTGCACCGATCATCAGGGCACTGATCATCAGTGCCTTGATGATCGGTGCCGATCCCCGCTCTGACAACTGCCGGTTCTCGGCGGTACTTTCCTCACGATCTGACAGCGTGAGGAAAGTGCAGCCGAGAACCGGCACTTGCATTTCCCTGTGATCAGCGCGTCATTGGACACCGCTGATCACGTGGTAAAAGGCCGCTGTGATTGGCCTTTTACCACATCACGTGATCAGCTGTGTCCGTAGGACACAGCGATCACGGAGATCGCCGGGTGCGCGCCCCCTGGGGGCGTGCAGGAGAGCGCGTTCTGGGAGGACGTCATATGACGTCCACCCAGAACTGGCCGGCCGCAGTGCAGCCGTCATTCGGCTATCTGCGGTCGGCTACTAGTTAAAGTGTTTATTAAACTCATTTGTTAACCATCCATACCTGGTGATTTGGATAGGGGGAGTGAGTCTACTTCAGTGGAAATCTCTGATTTTAGTAGTTTGGAAAGACAACTAATTTGTGCGGCTGTAAGAAATGGTAGGTTAAGAGGTGCCAAAAAATTATTAAACTGAATAGAGATAGGCTGAATCGTTGTGGGGTCTGGTTTAAGATCATATAGGTAGGCATAATACTTTCTAAAGGCTTCAGTGATTTGTTTGGGATCTATTACAGGTGCAGGGGATTCTGGATCTATGAGGCTAGAAATCCTAGTCTTGTGCTGTTTAGCTTCAATCTTCCTTGCCATACAAGCACCAGCTTTGTTATGAAGCACATAGGATGTGGATTTCAAATTTTTAAATTCATTCTCCTATTGGTATCACAGGTGGGTATGAAGAGCTTGTCGGGCCTTACAAAGGTCTGCCATCAATTGAGGGGAAGGATCAGATTTATTACGCTCCTTGAGGTTTCTGATGGTGTTAGTGTATCAAATTTCTGGGCCCTCCGTTTTTTTTAGCACAGGCACCTATTTTTAAGAAAAACAGAGATGGGCTTTAAAGTAACTGGTTGTTTTGCCCTGCCTGGATAAACACAAATTCACTTTAAGTTTCATGTAGATTTCTGTGCCAGATTAACTAAGGCTTTTGCTATACCTCTGGGAAAGACTCTTGATTCTGGGCACTCACGCAACTATTGTTACTAAGGGATTGCAGTAGGGGTAGATCTGGGATGTGAATAATTTCTGAATGGCTGAAGATCCAGGATTAGGTGTTCCCAAAAGTACAAGTTAGAATCAATCAATGGATTTCACACAGGTAACCAGGAATACTGGCAATACCAAAAAAACACACAATCAAACAAAAACAAAATGTTTTGTGCTTTCATTAAACACTTTTGATTTGGCTGGATTGTACATTTAGCAACAATTGATTAAACGATGGGTATTTGCTTTCCAAATCTCTATCACAGCTCATATTGAAAAATATTATTATATAATAAACACTCTCCGTGGATTCAGTTAAAACTATTAGATGTGGGTTTATTTTCTTAGGAAAATCTTCAGTATTTTAATGTTTAGTAAGATAATGATACCTAAATCACATCTGTATGTTGTCTACTGATGTTTGATTAAATAATAGCAACAGTAATTCACTGTAATCAGGATTAACAAGATAATGACCACATTTAGTCATTCTGCAAAAAAGGGGCAATCAAATGGGCGGCTGCCAAAGGTGCAGTGTAATAAATTCAGTTATAATCCTGAGAAAGTTCAGATTCTCTGGGAATAATAAAGCAATCAGTGCAATCAATGAATGCAATAGCATGAATGGGCTACCTACTAGTAATGACATTATATGCCCAATAAAAACAATGTATAGTAATATAATCCTATAAAAAACACATAATCACCTGTGCACCAATGCGTTATGTAGACCTGGAAATAAATAGTAATGTCTTAAACATGCAAATCACAATTTAGCTCATGTTTCTGCAATGCAGCATTAAATATAAAACATAGGCTTTACTGGTAGATACTGTATGGAGCACAGTTCACTTACTGGTTAATATAATTATACACAGAATAATATTTCTTAGTTTTTTATTTTGTCATGTGTTGCATTTCACATGGATTGTGGGATTTATCATAAAGTATTGTTTGCATTGCACAGGGTAAGAAGCAAGTGCGATATGACTTTTTCCACAAGCAGCATGTTCAGCTATATGATCTATTTTCACTAAGTGCATATCTTTGGGACTTCTAAGTGGCTCATTTCAGTTATTTCTTTTCTTTCTTTTTCTCTTAATGTACACCCTTTAAAATGCTAAATTAAATCTTAAAAAAATATACAAATTAAGATACTACTTTGGGGCAGCACAGTGGCTAAATGGTTAGCACTTCTGCCTGGCAGTACTAGGGTCGTTGGTTCGAATCCCAGCCACGGCACCACCTGCCTGGAGTTTGCATGCTCTCCCTGTGCCTGCGTGGGTTTCCTCTGGGTACTCCAGTTTCCTCCCACACCCCAAAGACATGCTGGTAGGCTAATTGGCTCCTGTCTAAATTGGCTCTAGTATGTGTATGTATGAATGTAAGCTAGGGACCTTAGATTGTATGCCCCTTGAGGGTTAGGGACTGATGTGAATGTACAATATATATGTAAAGCGCTGCGTAAATTGACAGCACTATATAAGTACCTGAAATAATAATAATAATAAAAGAGCTTCTAACCTGCTTACTGAGACATTGGAGACGTCATTAAGCAACACAGGGAGAACCTAGGAAAGCACAGGGCAAGTGCATTGTTTTCAATGTGTTAGCTAACTTTATTTGGTTGTTTTAATACAGGGGTTGAGAATGTTTACGTCAATATGTAACCATTCTCAACTTTATAGTTTAGAAACGAGGGACAGCCCAGAGCAGGAACAGGCAACATAACCAGCAATACATGGTGAAAATTAATGTGGCTACATAATCCTGAATAATGTTACTTTTCATTGTGCAGAAGGCAAAGGCATTTAACCTAGAGCAGCTAATCAGCAGTCATGTTTCATTATTATTATTATTATTATACAGGATTTATATAGCGCCAACAGTTTGCTCAGCACTTTACAATATAACGGGAGACAATACAGCAACAATACAGTTCAATACAAGAGAGTTAGGAGAGCCCTGCTCCTTGGAGCTTACAATCTAAGATTCATCATTCTAACTCCTCTAAACTCATGAAATGTAAACTCATATTAGTTGGTTTGGGTTTCTTATCTTCCCACCCCCAACCCTACATTTAATGCTTTGCTTTGAATATAAGTATGTACTTATGTATGCGTTTATGAATGTATACAATCAGTATTTGTTCATTCATACATATCAGACAGTAGACACTCTTCACGTCTGTCCTATCTTGTTGTTCACGTACAACTATAATGGGGAATAATGAGCAACATGGACTTACAGGTTAAGGAGTGCACTACCATCTAATATATGTCACCTGACAGTACAGTTATACAATATAGTTATACAATGTTGTAGAAATATTGAATATTTATACAATGTTGTAGAGGAACCAAAAATTAACTGTGGGAAAAAGTAGAAGTGGGTATATAGGTTAATCACAAGTTCAACTTGAACCAAGCTTGTTCGTATTTCGCCAAGTGGGCAAACTAAATGGGCACATTTGCCCAGTTCACCTAGATAACATTAATTTACTATAGGTATCACGACTGCCACTATATGACAGCCTCCTGCTGACTTGTTTCACACTATACAAGTTGTCAGGTGGGCATATTTGCTCAATGACATTGCCTATAGGTTCTCCAGTGCTGTGTTGACATTCCAACTGTCGGGGCTGTAAGCGGGGTCTGGCTCATTGTGATTGACATTGAGGGAGAAGGGGAAGAAGCCCTGGAACCCTCTCTTGCACATTATCCTCCTGATGTTGAGGGCATATGGCTGGGAATGTTTCAGGGGGCTGATTGCCTTTCCAAGGGTTTGGTATGAATGTTGGGGGGCCCAACTGCTGAACCATACATGTCTGGAAGAAAATAAAAAAAACATGGTGTCCCTAAAAATCCAAACCTGACCTCCTTGTGACCTGCTTCAAGCTGCTTTTGCATTCCTACAGACTTGTAATGAGAGAAGAACAATTTTGATGCAAATAAAAATCTGATAACAGTGTCCCATACTAATATTTCTGCAGACATTATGGTTGATAGACATGTTAAACCAAACTGGAGCAAGCAAGCAAGTACAACAGCAGATCGGAAGGTTTGTAAATAAGAAGAAAAGAGCAGGCATCTCTACAGTTTAGGCACTATCTTTTATGTTGGCTGTCATCTTGGTTGATGCATTAAATATGGAGGGTTGAGCCTTGCTTCAGCTGTAATTAAACAACAGTACATGTCTGGATTTATCTCCTTGTTGGATTTAATGTATTTTTCTTTATCAGAATTGACAAGCACAATTCCTAGAGAATTCAGTTTTGTTAATGCTTGGTAAAAGTGTCATTTGGTATATATACTGCGTATAACAACTTGCTGTCAGCTGCCTTAGACTCCTTAGCACCCCTAACCACACGCAGCATTAGACCCCGACCGCTTCAACCCTGGCAGAACAACCACACCAAAAGTCTTAAACGACGCAGTCGAGCGCTGGAGCGATTATGGCGCAAAACCAGATCCCCTCAAGCATTCACCCTTTACAAATCCTCCTTCCTCACCTACACATCCTCCCTCCATGCCGCCAAACAAGCCTACTTCGTAACCCTCATCAATACCCTCTCCACCTGTCCTCACCGGCTCTTCTCCACTTTCAACTGCCTACTCTCTCTCCCCCCACCTCCAACCAGTACCTCACTCACTGCCCACGAGATTGCCAACCACTTCCAAAACAAGATCAATCCGTAAAGACATCGCCAATGCTCAATTACCTCCCCACCTAGCCTCCTTCCCACGATAACCCCCTCAACTCTCCCCTCCTCTGACCTCGCAACTGCCCTGACCCCCACCACACCTAACATTCCGCACACTAAAACCTCCCCAACACTCCACTCCTTCAGCCTTGCTACCACTGAAGAGGTCACTA